ATCACATCATACTCAGGTCTACCCCAATCTTTATTTCGAACCACCCAATTACTAATAACCATCTCAGACATACATTTTACATTTCCTCATCTAAAAAGTAAATGGTCTGTCCTTAGTGAGCCCCTTGTAATTAGTCTTTGATGTGTACCTTATGTTTTTTTGGATCTTGTATACCAAATTTCCTATTAAGTTCAGAGGTGTTTTTGCAACAAAATCTTGAAAATCTGGCAATTCAATGAATGTCCATTTTTTCCACTCAGAATTATGCTTAACATTGACAGACATGATATGTTCGGCGGCATCCCCAGTTCTTTTGCTTTTCAATATATAATGTTCCAAGATCTGCAGTCTTTTAGTGTTGCCACTGCTAGGTCTTGTGTGATTCTACTTGTGGCTCTGCCATATTTGAATTGTTTTTTTTCTTGCTGCTCATAATATTTTCTCCTTGAGCTGGGGGTTTCGAAATTTAACTATGATATTCCTGTAGGTTTTCCTTTCATATGGTGATCGGTGGGTGTTTTCTAGTTCTACTTTCCCCTCTTGTTCTAAAGCTTGAGGACAATTTTCTTTAATTCTTTTTGTATTATTTTATCAAGATTCTTCTTTGATCACAGCTTTCAGGTAGTTCAATTATTCTTATGTTTTCTCTTCTTGATCAGTTGTTTTTCTTATGAGATGTTTCACATTCCTTTCTATTTTTTTTCATTCGTTATATTTTGGTTTATTATTTCTCAGTCTCTTATAACATCACTGGCTTCCCCTTGCCCAATTCTAATTTCCAAAGACTTATTTTCTTCCTTAAGATTCTGGCTCTTGGGGGCAGCTAGGTGGCACAGTGGATAGAGCACCGGCCTTGAAGTCAGGAGGACCTGAGTTCAAATCTGGCTTCAGACCAAACACTTGACACTTACTAGCTGTGTGACCCTGGGCAAGTCACTTAACCCCAATTGCCTAAAAAAAGAAAAAAAGAAAAAAAAAGATTCTGGCTCTCCCTTTCCAGTTGATTAACTTTCTTTTCATAATCTTCTTGTTTTTCTTGGATTGTTCTTATTGTTTTTTTAATTTTTCCTCAATCTCTTATTTTATTTTTAAAGTCTTTTTAAAGTTTTTCTATAAATTCTTTTTGGGTAGGTGACCATTTGACATTACTCTTTGGGGTAGGAGAGGGTTTTGTTTTTTGCTTCGGTATCCTCCTCTGAAGATGAACTCTGGTCTTCTCTATTCCCATAGTAACTTTCTCTAGTTAGGTTCTTTCTCTTTTGCCTGCTCTTTTTTTTTTTTTAATTTGTAGCAGCTTATCATTGTAATCACCTCTAGTCCTGGAGTATGGGGGATGGTGCCTCTGCTCTCAGATCTTCCTTCAGTTCTCCCCTCTGGCCTGGAGCCAAAACCAAGAATTCTGCCCTCCTGAAAGTGCCCACAGCCAGCAGCATCCCTGCCCCACTGCTTCTACACTTACCAGGCATGTGTTGATTCCTTCTCTCCTAGATGCTCTGCAGCACAGCTGGGTGTGGAGTCCCTTATGAGCAGAGGCTCCCTCAATCTTCCCCACTCAGATGCTCAACTCCCCACAATGTCCCGAGAGTGAAAATTCATGTGGCTGGGGCCAAGGCTACCTCCCAGCCCAGCTAACCGCAGGGCTGGTGCACTTGCTGTATTGGTAGAACTAGCTTGGAGGTGTTTACTCTTCACAGGGGCCAAACCTCAGTCCTGGGATTTTTCTTCAGATCTTCTCTGATTGCCCCAAGGACCACTGTTCTGCCCCAACTCTAGTTTATTTTTACCCTTTATATTTGCCTTGAGGCACTATTTTGTCTTGTTTGTGGGGGAACTATGGAAAGCTTGGAATTTTCTAACCTACTCCACCATCTTACCAGAATCTTCTTGATTTACATTTTCCTGAAGTATAATGTCTAGACTGTTTTTGATGGTTTCCAGGGAGTCTGATGATTTCTAAATTATCTCTCCTAGATTTTTCTTACAGATTAGTTTTTTTTATATCAGATACCTTCCATTTTCTTTTTTTTTTAAATATTTTGATTTTGTTCTAATCTTTTCTTGTCTCATGGAGTCACTGATTTCTGTTGAGCCCATTCTAGTTTTCAGAGATTTGCTACTTGAGTTAGATTTAATACTATCTTTCCTAAAATATCTATTCTTCTTCTGATTTTTTCTTGTAGAGATTTTATTTCTTTTTTTTTAATCTCTTGCTTCATTTCTTCTAGGCATTCATGTAGCCCTCCTCCTTCTCCTCCTCCTCCATCTCTCTAGCCTTAGTTCCTGAACTGGGACTTTGTTCCATGACCAAGATCTGTTCCCTACTGTGCTTTTGGTGTGGTAGTCAGCTCTGGTTAGTTCCCTGTCTTGGTTGAAAGAATGCAGCCAGCACCTCACTCCTCAGTCTTGATGCCAGAAGTTCCTTACTCTCATTGTCTCCCAGTGGGTCCCAGGCTCTTGTCCCTGGGTCACCTGTGTTCCTGTGCTGATCTCCACCTTTTGAAGTTTGGTACTTCTGGATCTTGGGGCTTCAGAGCACTGGATCTTCAGGACTTTCTGTGGTGTGACAGGATAGAGTGATAGACACCTTGGATGCCCCAAGCTGAACACTGCCATGAGGAAAGGCACATCACACTGGTCACTGCTGATATTGGTGACTTCCAAGACACAAGCTATGAATTTCGACAACTCTTAGACTGCTTCAGGAGAGCCCTCAGCAATTTATGCCTCCAGATAAAGAGGCCTGCAGGTTATACAATCTCTGGCCAGTTTCTTGTATGCTGGGAAGCAACTTCAGGTGCTGATGTTTCTGGGGGCTCCCCTTTCTTCTTGCCCGTGGGCTGACTTTTTGTGCAGTTCTGGGATAGATAAGTCACTTGCAGTTCCTCATTGTCTGTCTTAGTCACTTTTCTAGCTGGTGTAATTTTTAGGATCTTCACTGGAGTAGGGGTGTGGGAGCTGGGCAGCCATCTGGGCCAAAGAGAATGAGAAATATTAGAACAAAGGATCGACTGAAGAAACTGCAAATGCTCAAGGCGGGAAAGATAGGTATGTTCAAATCATTTTGGCTTCTTCTGCTTGGACCCAGAAGGCCAAGTTTAGAGCAAAAAGGGGCAGTGGCAAAGAGGCGGAGACAGGCATGGCGTTAGAAGAACTTCCTAGGGAACTCTGTGGCTCCATGCAGGGAGTGTGAGTCAGAAGCACCACTGAGTTGGACTGTTGTGTGTGAAGGGGAGCCATGCCTAATAAATCCGGAAAGGTCAGCTGCAGTCAGATTGTGAAGAGCCTTGAATGTCAGACAGAGGAGTTTCAATTTTGTCTTAAGGAGGAAATCACAGAGGACACTGTCAGCTGATTGCGTGTGAAGGGTGAGGAAGAATGAAGACATTAAGATGATGACCCTGAGATTGTGACCCGAGTGGGTGCAGGGATGGTGGTGCCTTCAATAGAAATGGAGACATTGGAAAGAGGAGCCGCTTGGGAGAGAACATCCTGAGCTCCTTTGGGCATGTTGGCTCTAGGACCAACCACAGCTAAGATCTAACTCTGACAGGAAGAGAGTGGAAGGACTGAGCTTCTTCATCTTAGGATGGGAGAATGGACAACCCAAGAACCTGGCAAAGGGGCCAGGCCCCCCGGGGTCTCCCCACTCTCAGTCGTCTTGTCAGTTCTGCCTCTGAACTTTCTCTTGCATCCATTCTCTCTACCTCATTCCAAAGGCCAGTGCCCTGGGCCAGACCCACATCACCATCCACCTGGACCGCTGCCATCCTCTGCACTCTCCTGTCCAGTCCACATGTGCTGCCTGAGCCATGTTCCCTTTCCTACTGCATAGATCTTGTCTTAGTGCTGAAAACCCTGCAGTAGCTTCCTCTGTCCTCTGGGCCAAGTTCGAAGCCCTTAGCCCATCATTCAGTCTTACAAAATCTGGCCCCAGCTTCCCTATGTCTCCAGCTTTCCGTCATGCTCTCCAGCAGCTGGATGGCCAGCAACTTCTCCTCCTTTAAAGCCCAATGTAAATGCTTTCTCCTCCTGGAAGCCTTCCTGGATCCCCTGGCTTGATAATGACCAAGAGCTCTATGAGAGAGAAATAAGATTTCCTTTTAAGCTTTGCATCTCCCCTGTAAAGGAGGCAGCTGGTGGTGCTGGGCCTGGTGTCATGAAGACCTGGCGTCATTACCAGCTGGATGACTCTGGACCAGTCACTGAACTCTTGTCTGCTTCAGTTTCCTCAACTGTACAATGAGGGTAATAATAGCACTTACTTCACCGGATTGTTGTGAAAGATAAAAATTGCAAAGCAAAGAAGACAAGTAAGTGCCTGACACGTAGTAGGCACCTAGTAAATGCTTGTTCCCTTCCCTGTCATGGCCAGCACAGGGCTCTGCATACATCAGGTGATTAATAAGTGTTTTTAACCGAATTGAATGTCTTAGTCTAGTGGAGAAAACAGAGACGAAGCAAAGAAAAGGGATGAGAGGCAGGCTTCCTGAGTCGTGAGCCAAGGCTGGGGCCACTGAGCCTGTGCTACAGTTCTTAGAGCCTGTCCTGTCCCCAGTGGGCTGAGGTCCAGGAGGGTTGAGGACCAGGGTGCCAGGATGGCCAGGGGATGCCAGGAGGGTCAGGAGGGCTGAAGGCGAGGAGGGCTGGGGTAGCCAGGAAGACTGAGGGCCAGGAGGGCCGGGAGGGTTGGGAGGGCTGAGGGCAAGGGGGCTGGGAGGGCTGAGGACCAGGGGGCTGGGAAGGCCAGGGGGGCCAAGAGGGCCAGGAAGGCCAGAAGAGCTGAAGGCCGGAGGCCAGGAGAGCCAGGGGGGCCAGGAGGGCTGGGGAAGCAGCGGGTTGGGGGGGCTGGGAGGGTAGAGGCCCAGCTCCCCATGAGCTAAGGCTCAGCCTCCTTCCCAGCCCCAGCTGGGAATTCAAGGTCACAGCATCCTTAAAGGAGCCACTAAATGTCTTCCCTGGCTTTATTTTTTTTCCATATTCCCTTCTTTTCTTTTCTTCAGGGAAAATCAAGAAAAAATGATCTATTTTCTCCTTCTTGATCGGAAAGAAAGGTATCCCAGCCACGAGGATGAAGACCTCCCCCCTCGGAATGAGATAGGTACAGGTGCCCCCCACCTAGTGTGCCCACCTCCCTCCTCAGCCCTCTCTGATGGCTAAGTGTCTCCCATACAGACCCATTTCTCAGGCAGGTCCCCTCTGCCCATCACCTCCGAAGATCTCACTACACGCAGGTAGTGGGCAGCACCCCTGCCTGAGCCCCACAGAGCGGCCCCTGCCAGGGTCCATTCCAACACTAAAGGGCAGTATTACAAACTCCCACTGTTTTCAGTGGGTGCCCATCGTCCCCAGGCTGTGGCCACCAGGTGCCCACTAATATTTGGGTGGTGGAAATATGTGTCAACGATAAAGCCAAAATCATCCTGGCCGGGCCAGGCTGAGCCTCTCCCCTCCTACTCATTGAGGGGTGTGGGGATTCTGAGCCCCGGGGGAAGGAAGGCTGACTTACCGTCACCCCTCCCCAGACCCCCCCAGGAAGCGTGTGGATTCCCCAATGTTGAATAGACATGGAAAGCGGAGGCCTGAGAGGAAGTCCATGGAGGTCCTCAGCGTGACGGATGGCGGCTCCCCGGTCCCTGCCCGCCGAGCCATTGAGATGGCCCAGCATGGCCAGAGGTAAGTGCTAGCTGCATCTCCCCCCGCCGGCCGTCCCCACCTTCTTTCCCTCCACTTCCTCCCCCAGGCTGCCCTCTTCAGCAGGCTCAGGGCTGTCCCCTTGCCCCAGCGTGGGGGTTGGGCTGGCTGCTGCGAGGAGCCTGGCCTTGGCCGGGCAGCACTGGGGGAGGCTGGTGGTGTTTGTTTGCTGAGCTTTTGCTTCCTCAGCTTAGTGCGTGGCCCCCCTGGGCCCCCCCCCTGCCCCTAGGGCAGGCCTAGCACTCTGAACCTCTGACTGAGAAAAGCGGGCTCCTGGCTTCTGCGGGAGATTACCAGACAGCCAGCCACAAGGCCAAGCTGTCTTGGGCCTTCCTGGAGGCAGTGACCTACTTCAGCCCACGCCTCGCTTCCAGCCCAGGGTGGTAAGGGAGGGAAGAGAGGAAGCTGGGGCCAAGCTTGAGTCCCGACTAGGGCCTCGGATGGCTCTGGGGCCTCTGTCCTGAGTTGCCAGTGGACGATGAGGGGAGGCCAGGAGAAGGGAAATAGAGCTAATCCCATAGAGCCCCCTAGCCCGGGCTGGGCAAGGCTGGGCATTACGGACTTAGGCAGTTTGGGGTGAAGGAAGCCACGTCTTTGGAGGGAGCAGACGTGGCTGTCCAGAAGGTCTGGCCTGGCAGGCCCAGGAAGTCACACTGATCTCTCCAGGGATGGAGGGTTCTCCCTCAGGGCCAACTGTATCCCCTCCCCCAGGCCTGCCCCCCATATGCACACACTTCCTTCTAGCAGAGAGAAAGCCACCAAGGTGAGGACTCAGGAAGGGAGGAGCCTTGTGACGGAGAAGGCCCAGAGACTCTGGGACGCAGGGAGAGAAGAAGGGAGCTGCCTTAGGCCCAGCCAGGCTTCCTACAGATCCCCCTTGGGGTTCCCCGCTGAGCCAAGAAAAGGGACCAGCAGCAGCTAGGAGAAAAAGTCAGGCTCCCCGGAAATGAGGCTTCTGCCGTGCCAGGCCCCATGACAGAGTACTGAGCTCACCCATCAGTGCAGCGTGGCCTCAGCCAGGCTACACATTAGGGGCTCGCTGCAGACACCTTGGGATGCATCGTAGGCACGCAGGGGCTCGTTTGGGCCCCCAGACCCACACGAGGGACCTACGGTGAGGAAGGGGGCTCTGGAGGCCTGAGGAGAGGGCGCTTTGTGCTCACCCACCCACTGCTTCTTCAGGGCAGCCCCAAAGCTGTCAGGGACAGCCGGTCCACTTCCTAGGCAGCCAGATTTCAACAAGAGGCCTGGGGTGCTGGGGTGCTGAAGCCTGGGCTCTCTCTGGGCCCCTTCGTTCCCTCCCCAAGGAGAGCTCTGAAATGTCATGAATGTAGCTGGAAAGAGACTGGAGAGAGTCTGTGACAGACGCCCCCTCCCTCCTAGGGAGGCCCTGTCTGGGTTCTCTGGTGCCCTGAGATGCCTGAGAGTCAGAGGTGCCCACACTCTGAGGGCCAGGCAGTGGCCTCTCCCAGACTCAGGGACCTCGGGTGCTTGGAGCACAAATGGAGGTGAGCATGGTCCCCTGTGCCAGCTCCCTTCTGCTCCTCGGCCAGAACCTGCCAGGCAAGAGTCCGCTAGGATGTCCTAGCCTCTGAGTGGGCACCCAGTCCAGGGCTGGCAGTCACAACAGGGGGCACCATTTAGCTGGGAGGGTGCCCTGCCTGTGCCGCTCACCAGTCCTCAGCCTCCATGGAGGTCTGGGGAGGGGCCCCTTGGAGTCCTGAGACTCCAGCTTGAGGGGACCTGAGCCCCTACCTTGAATGGCCATGTTCCCACTGAGGCCAGGGCCGGGTTGGGCCAGGGGCGCGTCCACTGGCCCCGGGCCATCTCAGTAACTCTGTTTTCTCACTTTGTTCCTGCCATAGTAAAGCCCTGTTCAGTAAAAGCCTGGATATCTCTGAAGCCCATCCCAAATTCAGCAAAGAAGACAGGTATACACCCTGCCATGCCTGTTCCCCTCTCCTCACTGCTGAAACCTTAAAGATGCAGGGCAGAGCAGCTGTCAGGGACCCGGGGGTCAGCAGCCCTGGGCAAAGTGGCTCTGGACAAGCCTCGAGCAGGGCCGCCCTGAGGTCTGGGCATGACTTCCCTGGTGAGAAAGCTCAGCTCAGCCTCAGAGTGACCTCCGCCTGGGTGGGCAGGCTGGCAGCCAGGGGCACGAAGGGCAGGGCCGCCATCAGGAAGTCAGCATGCACATGGCACTGCCCTGGGTGCGTAGGCAGAGGACCCGGCTCTGGACCCATTTCCATTGCTTCCTTACCCTGTGGCCATGTGGCCGTGGTCACTTACCTCTCTGGACCTCAGCTGGGGCATTGGTGAGATGAGAGGGTCGGATGCGTGGCCTCAGAGGGTTCCTTGCAGCTCTGGCAGTGAGCCTGGGAGTCTGAGCCTGAACTCAGAGGGCCTGTGGGGGTGCCCACCCAATAAACCTATGCCCGCTGATGACATCTGTTCACACTGAGAGCCGGGCCTGGCAGCCTTCAGGAAGAGGCCAGATGGCCTCTAGTCAGGGATGGAGGGAAGAGAAGGGAGTCTGGCCAGGTCTGGCCTAGAACTAGAGGCCTCCAAGGCCCTTCCAACCCGAGATGCCAAGGTTCTGATTTGGGTCTCCATGCACACATACTCAGCATAGCCACACACACATGGGCACATGTGTCCTCATACATGCTTCCACACGTGTGCACATTCATCCTCATACAGAAGCATGAGCCTTACCTTGCTGGGGGCTGTGCCTCAGAGAGCCCTGCAGGTGGTACCTAGAACGCTCCTCAGTGCTACCGCAGGTGGCACCTAGAACACACCTCAGTGTTACTGCAGGTGGTACCTAGAACACTCCTCAGCATTACTGCCTGGGCCCTGGGCCCCAAGCCCTCCCCTTCCTGCCTTTCTTGGCAGAAGAACAGTTACATGTAGAAGTCTCTGAGGAAGAACTAGAAGGCTGAGAGTAAGCACCCCACTGAACCCCAAAAGTCAACACTGGGGGCCCTTACAGGATAGCTAGTTCCCCAGGATACAGCCAAGACCCGTCTCTAAACCCTGATGTGACAGGCCCTGAGCTCTGGAGGGAGGAGGCAGGTGAGGGCTCTTGGGGGTCCCAGATATTCCTGGCAGCTCCCTTCTGTCCTCCAGTCTTGAGCGAACAGAGCCCAGGACAGACAAGAGCAGGGGGATGGATCCATGCCAGCCTGCCTGTCCTGCTGGGGCTGCTGAGTCCCAGCAGTCCTCACTGGGACCTGTGCTTTGTGGGTTAAAGGCCAACTGCATCTTTAAGGGTCGAGCCCCCCTCCCCGCAGGTGCCCTTGGTTGTCTTGGTAGCTGAGGTTGTCTCTCTGTCACCTTTCCCAATGGGCAGTGGCTTTCTCTCTCCCCTCACTCCTCTTCTCTCCCTTCCTCACCCTTTCCTCATATCCCCCTCCCCAGGTACTGTTGTTCTCCCGTCCTGGGGCAGGGTGCATAGCTCTGCAGTGCCCTGTCTCAGGACACAGGGTGTGACTTGGTAATGTGCTGCACGGCTGGGCCCAGCCTGGCCCAGGGCTGGGGGCTCTGGGCTGGGGCCTGGGGCTGAGTCCTCCCTTCTTCCCTCCTCCCTGTCCCCACCCCTGCCCACCACCCATTTCCTTCTTATTTGGAATTTGAAGATCCATCCACTTCAGTTTCATTTATATATCAGGGCCGAGCAGGGAGACCCTAGGCCTCAGCTGAGACCTAGCTATTCAGTGTCCCCTTGAGACTCCACAGCTGCCAGTGTAGCCAGCCAGTAAGAGCCTGGAGGCACTTCCACAGGAGCTCAGGATGGGCTAGCTCGTCAGAGGCTGTACCCCAGCCCGCAGCTCCTCTGTAGAGCCTGTGGCCCTGGTCAGGGCCCTAGACTTCCTGCTCCAAATTGCCAACATCTCCCTTCCTGCCTTCCCCTTGCCATGGCCCTGAAGTCAGCGAGCGAGCCAAGACTGGAAGCCAATTAGCTATGACCCCGATTCCAGGCAATGGGTGTGAGAGCATCACCGGCTAAGGGCCAGGGCAGTGGGGAGGGAATAGGCCTTGGGGTTACAGGGAAGATCCTTGGGGAAACAGAGCACCTATGTGTGTCTCTAGAGCGCCCCCTCCTATGGACTGTTGTCCATGCCCAGCCCAGCTCCCCCTGCTGCTGGGCGGGCTGAATGGCCCTGAAACTTTTGTCTCTGAAGGGACATACCCAGTGCGCCACCCACCTCCAAGACAAGCTGAGCTGAGCTGGTGAGAGAAGGCAGCCTCATCCTCAGTAATCCACCAATCAATGACCATTTATTAGGTCCCTGCAGAGTGCCAGGCACAGTGCGAGGCACTCAGGTCCCCCAAAGGTGAAAGAGCTCTGGCTCCTTCAGAGGATTTAGGTTCCAATTTCACCCCTGATGTTTATTAGCTGTGTGACTGTGGGCAAACCACTCCCTGGTCTCAGTTTCCTCATCTGTAAAATGAGGCCCCTTCCTAATTAGAGCACCTGTGAGAGAGGCCCAAGGAGCTGGGCTAGGGGGAGAAGGCCCCCCGGTCTCTCCTGGAAGCTTGGATGGGTCCGAGGGTTTGTGCTGGGATGCGTTGTCCCCGGGGCAAGGAGACCCTATGAGTCTCTGTCCACTCTTTCACTGTGCTTTTCGTCCTCTTCCTCCCTTGTGGCTGCTCGGGGCCCCTTTCTTTCTCTCCCCCTTCCTTTCTTGTTTCCTTCCTCCAAGGATGGCCAGTGCACTGGGGTAAGCAATTTGGATTCTTCCTCTGTTGGGGCCCCAGGGCCAGTCAGCAGGTGCCCTCGGCGCCATTGGGGTTCAGATTGGTGGGAGATCTTTCTTTGGTGGGAACTTCTGCTGGGGGTGGGGGTAGGGCGGGGAATAGACCCGGGGTCTTCCAAATTGAAGAAAGTTGCAGGATGCAGAGGCTATGCAGGAACGGAAGGGGAGCTGTCCTCCAGCTCCTGGGTGCTGATTTCCAGCCTGAGGACTGGGGCTGTGCCCGCAGCAGATAAGAGACACTGCTCCCATGAGTTCTAGGTCTCCCGTCCCCACTCCCAGACTTAGCTTCCCTAGTGTCCATGGGGGTAGAAGGTAGGTAAAGGCAAGTCTCCCTCCATGGTGGGCGTTGAACCACCCCCATGACCTCTCCTGGCCCTTGGGCCAGGCCTGAAAGCACACATGCTTCTTGCTTCTTTCCCCCTCATCTGGTGCCCTCTCACCCTCCTCCCACCCCCATACCCCCAAGCCACATGCCCTTTGACCGACAGATGAAGCCTAGATGCTAGAGGGCTGGTTTAGGACTAAGGGCCTTGTTCTATCAGAGTATGTTGTGGAGGGGACAGAGAAGGGGAGAGGACATGGCAGGGCTGGGCAACAAGGGGAAACCTGGCCCAGGTAATGTCCCATTTGGGCTCCAGTGGGCCACGGGGTTTCCCTGGGGTTGGGGAGGGGCAAGAATGAGCCTGCCTCAGCCATAATGGTAAGAGATTGTCCTCACTGTCCCTATCTCCTGGGTCAAGCAGGACTATTCCAGAGGGGAGATGTAATGGGAACACATCCCCTCTCTGGCTGTGCTGTCCACAGGGGTCAAGAAGGTACTCTGATGGAGGAGTCCTGACATCAACAGGAACTCCTAGGAGTGACTGAGGAGTCCAGCTCCTTGTGGGCAAAGAATAGTGCTGAGGAAAAGGGAAAGAGCCCTAGGCACCCAAGCAAGGCCATGCAGCAGCAGGAGGCCATGCCTGGCAGGCCAGGGTTGGGGTTAGGTCAGGGAGATCTCTGAAGACTTACCCCAGAGAGACAAGTGCTCTTGTGGCTGGAGGAATGGGAAGGCCTCCTAGAGAGTTCAAAGCTTCTGCGGTGGCTGCCGAGGTCTACATTACCCCCAAGCCCATGGCTCCCCAGCCAAGTTCTCGGGAAGGGCCAGAAAATAGCTACCCTGCTTTTCCACCCTTTGGGGTAGGCCACATCATTACAGAATCTCCCAGCCGGAAGAGACTTCCAAGGCGTACGCGCATGTGCACACACACATGCACGCACATACATACATGCACACACATGCACGCACACATCCCACAACATTCTGACAAAGAGTTCCCCAGCCTCTCATCACCTCCTGAAGCAGCCTCTTCTGCTTTCACTGTTAGGAAGTTTTTCCTGACACCATCCAGCCTCTCTGACTCTTTGAATTGATTCTGTTCCTACATCCCCACCTTTGCTCCTAGTCCTGACATATGGGGCCAAACAGAAAAGGCCAGTCTCTCCGCAACATCTCTTATGGTCCCGCTGACCTGAGAAAACCCCACTCTCCAGCTTAGCAAAGGCATTCCCAAAAGGCAACACCTAGAAGAGACCCCAGCCCTCCAAATGGAGTGGACTGACCAGGACAGAGGGTGGGGAAACCATCGTCTCCCTCCCCTGCAAAACGACACCTCTAAATGTAGGCCAAGAGCCCAGGAGCTTTTGGACTCCCCTGGGACACTCTGGGGCTCATTAGAGCTACTAAAACCCGCAGATCTTTTTCAAAGCCACGCCTCTTCCAGCGTACCTGGCTGTACTTGTATCCCGGGTACTTTCCACCGTGTTATGTTCAGTCCTGAAGCAGCAACCCATCTGTCTCTTGGTCCCTTACTGTCATCCAGTCTGTTAGAGCTCCTTCCTTCAAGCTATGCATCCTCTGTCCAATTGCACAGACATCTCTGAGACATCTATGCCTTTATCCAAGATACATCTGTCAATGCCATCATCGTCACGTCATCATAGCTAGGATTTCTATAGTGCTATAAAGTTTGAGAAGCACCCTGCATGAGATAACAGGGAGCCCAAGCAACTCCCCTCCCCATTTCATCCTACTTGACCTCTCTGAAGCCTCCCACGCTGCTGGTCACCTTCTCCTGGACACCTTCTTTTCTTTGGGTTTTTGAGAGACTGCTTTCTCCTGGCTTTCCTCCTACCTCTCAGACTGCCCCTTCTCCATTTCCTTTGCTGGATTTTCAGGTCATGCTCACTAACTGTGGGTACCCCCAGGGTTTTGTCCTGGGCCCTCTTCTCTTCTCCTTCTATCTCAACTACTGATCTTATCACCTCCCATGCATTTGATTATCACTTCTATGAAGCTGATTTCCAGGTCTATCTACCCAGCCTGAGTTTTTCTCCTGACCTCCAGTCTTTCATTTTCAACTGTCCATCAGACATTTCCTGCTGGACATCCCATAGATATCTTAAACTCAGCATGTCCAAAACAGAACGTGTCCTCTTTCCCCCCAGACCTTTCCTTCTCACTACTGTGGAGGGCACCCCCATCCTCCCAGGTTCCCGGGCCCCCAGGCCCTCAACCTCAGGGTTGTCCTTAACTCTTCACTCTCATACCACATGCCCAATCTGCTGCCAATTCCTGTCCTTTCTACCAGAACGAGATGTCTCTCAGGTATCCCTCTTGCCATTACCATAGGCTTCTAATTGGGCTTCCTTCCCCAAATCTCTTCCAAAGTGATTTTCCTCAAGTGAAATTCCTGCCCCTTCACCTTATCTCCCCCACCCCCACCTTCAGTGACCTCCAATGGCTTTCTCTCACCTCCAGAATGCCGTTTGGCATTCAAAGCCCTTCCCACCCCATTCTTTCCTTTCCAGTCTTGTTACCCTTTGCCCCTCCACACACCCTCTGGAAGATCCGCTGAGGCCCATGACTTCCTCATCCTCACCAGTTGACCTCCTAATTCATTCCTTTATGCTGGAGGGCTCTCTCTGTGCTTCCTAACACTAAAACAAATAGCTGCCCTCTTGCGGTACTCAGGTTCCCTTGTCATCCCTCTCGACATGATTCTTACAGGACTGCGTCTTCTGGGCCAGGTCTTTATTTTTCCTGACCCGCTGTATGCGCTTCTTTAAAATCCAGGGAGGTGGCCTCCTGGGCAGCCACATCGGGCTCTGTGCGACTCTGTCTTTTCCTCTTCATCAGAGTTGTTCTCTCTCCGTGCCTTCGGAATTCCATTCTGGGGAGCACCCTATCTCTTCTGGACTGAGTTCTCCTGTAAAATTCTGGGCCACAAGGTCCTTTCTCTGAACCATCTTTCTTGGCCTGTTCAATTCAATTCAATTCAACAAGCAAGCATAGCTCAGCAGGAGGTAAGAATCTGCTCCCTCCTCATTATGCCCTGCCTCCACATTCCTGGTGGAATCCAGCCTTGGGGGCCCAATGACCCTGCGAGTAAGGACATGCCATAGACGTGGAAAGTGGAGAGGGAGCCTGCACTGGGTACTGGGATGGACAGAGGGCAGGCAGCAGGCACAGCCCCCCCTAGGGAGTGCTGTGTTTTGGGCCTACCTCCCTGGGGAGGCTGCTTCCTGCCCAGACTCTTGGCTCACTGTCTCCTGGGACCAGAGCACGTAGTTGATAGGGAGCGCCTGGGAGTGCCCTGGGCAGTGGTGGAACAAGGCAGTTTGCGGTGTTAAGCTTTGGGACAGCAGAAAGTGGTTCTGGAGCCATAGGGACTCCTTGGCTTGGGCACTGCCCAGCTGGTGAAACAGCTTGGGCCCGATGACCAGGAAGGGCATTGGAGGTGGGAGAAGGGGCGCCAGGATCAGCAGGGACTCAGGGGCTGCCCTGGTCCTGCCTGCCTGCCCTGAGGACTCCCTCTTGCTTGTGTTTCCCCAGGTCCCGGTCAATCAGCGGCGCATCATCGGGTCTCTCCACCAGCCCTCTTAGCAGTCCGAGGGTAAGTGTCCCTTCCTGGATCACACCACAGTGAGCGTCTGTGGGCACCTTCCTGCCCTGTCCTCCGGACCCCAAAGATCTGCTGCAGCCTGGCCCGTGGCCTGTGGGGCATGGCTTTCATTCCATTTTGTGGCTTGTTTTGACCACTTTCAGTGAGCAGAAAGTTCTCTGGGCCTTCTCTAGGTGGGACAGGTCAAGGGTACTGCAGAGTTAGGAAGTCCTGGTACCCAGGTGGGATGGGCTCTGGGAAGTCAATGCGGAGCAGAGAAGCAAAAGGGTGACTAAACATTATAGTCCTCCATCCACACATGTGCACGCGTGTGCACACCCATTCACATGTACATGGTCCCATAGCACACGTGTGCACATGCATACACACATGTGCTCACACACGCAGAGACTGCTGGTCCAGCAGAATGCTGTAGCCAATAGGACCTGCTTGCTAGCTTAGCGCACAGGCCTCCTCTTCCCAGATGGTCCGGAAGCAACAGGGCCCAGGGTAGCATCTGTCCTGAACAGGCTAATGTCCACTTGGGGAAGCAACAGGTGTGTAGGTAGAACAACCTCCTTTCCCTGCACGTGAGCCCCCCAAGGGGCTGTGGGTCAAGGTCTAGAGAACCTGCCCATTGGCAGTGGTTGGCCCATGGTAGTTCTGACCTGGGACCTCCGGCCCCAAGTCCTGGGCCCAGGTCCTCCAGGGGGTTGGACGGGAGTGATGGCAGTGGCCAAGTTCTTCTGAGGTTCCATTTCTAGGAGATGGTGACGGGCTCCTTGACCTGACAGATGTTAGGTCGGCCCTGACAGGGTCTCTTCTGGCCCATCGGAAGTCAGCATCCACAGCTGAATCCCCAAAGCTGTGGGTCCCGTGGCCAGAGGCAGGGGCCGGGCGGGGCAGGCCAGGACCTTCCCATGTCCATGGCCTTTGCTAGAGAGAAGGAGTCTTCATTCAGTGAGGTTGCAGCTTGGTGCTGGGTCTGGGGATAATCCTGCCATCCAGGGTTCAGATCAGAAAGAACGTTCACCATCTTCTGGTCCAACCGCCTAATGTTCCAGAGGAGGAAACTGAGGCCTGCGAAGGTCGAGGTGGAGTAAATGGCAGAACCAGAATTCAGGCCCAGGTCCATTGACTGGAGCCAGCATTTTTCCCAGAGTCCAGAGCCCGGCGAGAGGCAGCAATAGTCCCTCTCCATGCCTTCTCTAAATCTGGCCGGTTTTTCTTGACCTCCCCACAGCCCTCACTCGTCCCTCACAGGCAGGCAGCATAGGCTCTCCTTCCCCCAAGCTCCTACCAGAGAGAGAGGCTGTGGGAGGCCCACACCAGGGCCCAAGGCCAGCAGAAAGAAACCAGAGCCCAGGAAGATTACCAAGGTCTCCCAGATCCTTCAGGAACCCATCCACTTCTCGGAATCCCCACAGGGATGGCACATGGTTCCCAGCTGGGAACTCCAGCTCCCAGGTCCTCCCAAGCAAGTGGGTGGCATGGGGCAGGACAGCTGGGGTAACTCCGTGGTCCTCTCTCTGAGACTTCGGATGGCCTGGCCAAGTTTGTTTGGATTGGGTCAGGGAGCGCTCCTGCCCAGTCCTGCCTGGGAGGGTCAGTGCCCGGGAGAAAGCTTCTCTTCAGCCACTCTCCAGAGTGAAGGGTGGGCAGGGCCAGGGGCAGGGCCAAAGGCAGGGCCCTCAGTCAGAGGCTTTCTCTTCCTATTTCCTGGTTGGATGCCCCCCCCCCCATGCTGGACTCATGGATTTTTTTTGCTTTGCCCTGTGTGTGGCTTGGCTGGGTGGCTGAGGTGGCCGAGGCCTGGGGCAACACGTGGCTGTTACTGCTGTTGCTGCTACCGCCTTCTTTGCTAACTGCATGTTCTCTTTGTGTGTGTGTGTGTGTGTGTGTTGTTGTTGTTGTTTTTTTTGTACGTGCCTACGTGTGTTTGTTCGTTTGTTCGTTTTTTTTTTTCTTTGCAATCCCCCCACCCATCACCTGTGCTTCCCTCCTCATGGGGCCCTTGAGCCTCGTGGGGATCGTGCCCTGATTTTTCTTTCTTCATCTGCCTGCGTTGGGGTGCATGTGGGTGCGTGTGGGTACGTCTCACCGTTCTTCCTGTGCACGGACACTCCCCTGCTCGCTCTTGCGCGCACTCTCTCTTTTTCTTTTTTTCCTCTCCCCCCCCCCCCCCTCTCTCTCTCTCGCTCTCGCCCTCTCTCTCTCGCACGCTTGCCTCTCTGTCTCGGGCTCTTTCTCGATCTCTCTCTCTCTCTCTCTCTCCTCTCTTCTTTGCCTCCTTCCCTCTCTCAATCTTCCTCTGTCTGTTGTAGCCTATCAGAAAATTTTTCATCCCTCCCCAGCCCCCTGAGCTCCCCTTTCTCCCCCGTCCCCAAATGTCCTTGGACCCCGAAGCTCGTAGGGACACCTCACGGCCCGGACCCGCCCTCCAACCAAAGGCAGTGATGCAACCCAACCCAAAGACACAGACCTTACCATCCAAGGGCAAAGTGACGGACAAACCTCTGCAGTCCACGAAGTCCAACCCGCTCCCCGCCAGCACCATCGGCTCCGTCCCGGCCCCGGCCCCGCCCCCTCCTGGCCCCGCTGGCCCAGCCCGACTCGGCCCCCAGCTGGCCGGGCCGGCCGGCCACCTGCACCCCTTGTCCCCCATCAGGCTGCTCCCTGCTAGTACTGACCCGAGCACCAAATCTATCCCCATCATACAGGTGACCCCTCACCCCTCTCCAAGGGGCAGCCCCCTCCCTACCCCCAAGGGAACGCCCGTCCACACGCCAAAGGAGAGCCCGGCAGGCACGCCCAACCCCACCCCACCGTCCAGCCCCAGCATCGGAGGGATGCCCTGGAGGACGCGGCTCAATTCCATCAAAAACAGCTTCCTGGGGTCTCCTCGATTCCACAGGCGGAAACTGCAGGGTAAGTGGCCGGCCCGCTCCGGCGGCCTGCTGAGAAACTGGAGGCAGGCATTGGGCCTTTCAGACTTCCCGTCTGCTGCGCCTTGTTCCTGGGCCAGGCTCGGGCAGTCCGGCTATGCAGAAGGGGCTGGGAGGGGGGCAGATCAGGTCAGCCCAAGGAGGCCAAGTTTGGATTCACAGGCCAGAAGGAAAGGGAAATGGACTGCGTGTGGCCCTTTGTCTCCAGGCCTGAGACAGACAAAGGCAAGGAAGAGGAGAGGACAAAATCTTTGCCCTTTTCCTGGCCCCTCCCCCAGCACACGTCCCACATACACGCGTGTGTATCCACACATGCACGCATCCATATGCACACACTCACATACATATAGGGGATGCACACAGTCACACATACACATGCTCAATGCGTGCAATGCACACACTCAGACATGTATGTATGCACATCACACATGTATACTACATACACACGTATACATCCACCCTCACATTCACATACATACATACAGGTAACATGCACACACTCAGACATACATATGCACAATGTACACATATACTACGTACACACATATGCAGCCACATACACACGTCTGTGCACACACATACAGGCAATGCACACACTCAAACACATACATAGACACAATGTACACATGTACTACATACACACGTATGCACCCACATACACATATGTGTGCACACACTCAGATACACACATGCACAGTGTATATATATATAATATATATATATATACTACATACACATATGCACCCACATGCACACGTCTGTGCACACACATACAGGCAATGCACATACTCAGACACATACATACACACAATGTACACATATACTACATACACATATGCACCCACATACACACATCTGTGCACACACATACAGGCAATGCACACACTCAGACACATACATACACACAATGTCCACATATACTACATACACACATATGCACCCACATATACACGTCTGTGCGCACACATACAGGCAATGCACACACTCAGGCACATACATACACACAATGTACACATATACTACATACACATGTATGCACCCACATACACACATGTGTGCACATACTCAGACACACACATGCACAATGTATATATAATACACATCTATATACTACATACACATATGTACCCACATACACACGTGTGTGCACACACTCACATGTACAGGCAATGCACACACACTCAGACACATACGTAGGCACAACGTATACATACACACATATGCACCCACATACACATGCACACACCCATCACCTTCCCTGCCTGACTGTGCCTGAGGTTACAGCTTGGGCCTGCCCCCATACTGCTTATCAGGACCAGTGACCGCCCTCCTGTCCCACAGCCACAGCCTGAATTCTGACCCAGAAGGTGACGTCCTGAAGGGCAGCAGTTTGGGACGGAGCCTGCCCAGAGCTCCAGATGCCACCTCACTGGAAGTATCCAGTGGAGACCATAGCTGTATTCAGAGTTCCAAGTACATGACTCCGTATCATGGAGACTGCTGGGTGTGGTCACTTGAAGGGTCACTCTGGCCACCCTGGGACAGCTTCCATTTTCTCATGATCTACCCTGAGCCTAGAGGGTCAGTGCTAAGAGGAGTAAGTGTCCAACTGCTAAGTCAGGGCCCTCAGGCTGTGTCCAGCCACCAACCATGACCAGGGGTCTAAATGACAAGCCTCAAGAGAGGGGACCCTCCTTTCCACCTGGGGTCACAGACAGGGAAGGGGAAAGGCTAGCCTATACCTTACTGGGCTGAAATGTCCCTGTTGTTCTTTGTGAGTCGAAGTTGAATTCATACTGGCTGGGAGGTTTCTTGTGTAGCCAAAAGAGGCCAGGCCCTCCCAGCCCAGGGCCCTCAGGCCCCAGTGTTTCTGCTGGCTGCTCTGTCCTGGGCTGGACTCCAGGCTCCCAAATCACCTGCATGCTCAGAGGTAGCCAGGGGCTCCTCGACAACCTCCTACCAGGACTCTGTGGGGGCTTAGGAACATGAAGACTACCGGTAGTGAAAGGCTAGACAAGATCACCAGCTCCCAGCGTTAGCTCCTGGGCCAAGAGCCCCTGCCGAGGGTTTGCCAAGGTCAGAGCCGAGGCCAAAGATCTGTCTCCAAGGGACTGGGGTAGTCTGCCCTGAACCACAGCATCCATCACACCAGTCACCAAACTCTGGCCTTGGGAAGGTTTCCATTTTCTGGTCCTGAGTCTCAGTGGATCCACTCTGGTGGTGGCCTGTCCTAAAACTGGGTCCAGCTACTATATCACGCCTGGGAGCAAGTGGGCAGCAGAGATGGGAGATGGGCTGTGGAGTCACCATGTCCTTTCTTTCCCACCTCGGTCCCTGGCTGGGTGCAGTACCTACACCGGAGGAGATGTCCAACCTGACCCCAGAATCATCCCCAGAGTAAGTGACCTCCATCCCACTACCCCAGTCTTTCTCCATCTAAGTGGCTCTGAGACCCAGCAGAGGCAAAGAGAGCTATGGGCTGAGCAGATGCCCACCCTGGGCTGAGGAGCCGTGTCCCCCCAGGGGCCCAGTCTCTGGTCTGCTCAGGTCGAAGCAGCCTCAGGCTTATCAAAGGCTACAAAGATCAATTCCCTACTCTGACTGACCTCAGGATGCTTCTCCTCCAGACCCTCCATCTTGCCCTCTCCCTTCACTTATCTTGTCTTTGCCTGTCTGCTTGCCCCCGCAGTCTCTCTCCCTCCCTCTCTCCCTCTCTCCCTCCCTCTCTCCCTCCCTCCCTCTCTCTCTCTCCCTCCCTCCTCTCTCTCTCTCTCTCTCTCTCTCT